CTTGATATATATATATTTTTTTAATTATGAATTTATTCAATTTATTTATCATTCTAATACGTCTTATGTCATGATTGATATGAGAGAATCTCCATAGAATGGAATGATCATTTTCTAACCCATTTCTTATCTCATGATTAGCAGTAGATTGTTTTTTAAAGGAATGACCATTCCAATGGAAATTGCAAAACTCATCTCCATTGAATTAGCTATTTAATAGCTAGTGTAGGAATCAATTTTTCAAAAAATAAAACTAAAAATAATAAGTGAAAATAGATATATAATATATACTATAATCATGATTAAATTATATTAAATAAAATTATTTAAAAAATAAAATTTTATTTTTATTTATTGTTCATATTTTAATTAAATATATTAAATACTTATACAACAACAAGAAGAAGTCGTTAAAGTCCCACTAAGTTGGTTCGGCTATATGGATTGCATGTCGTCAAATTGCTCGATCAAAACACAAAACCTCATTCAAATTTAAATATTTTAAATTATTTTTTATTGTTTCCTTCTAAGATTTCTTATGTCTACCCCACTCCGTTTTAATTTGTGTTCTTTAATTCTAATTTTTCTATACATCTCACTGAGGTTTCGAAGTCTCTCCTACGCAGATGCCCAAACCATCTTATATAAAAAAAATATGCATTTATAAATAATTTAAAAAGATATTATTTTATTTTTATACATCATATATATTATGTATTTATTTATAAATTAAATTATAATATAAAAAATTATAATCGACCACATATGTTTGTACTAATTAATAAATATATGAATACACAATTCCCTAATTTATTATATAATATATATACCTGTAACAATACAAAAATATATTTATCAATATATGATTTATTTTTATTAAAAATAAATTAATTTTATTATTTATCATAAATAAAAAATAACTATAATATGAATATTAGTTTTTTCTATAAAATATGATAATGTCATTCCATTTAAGTCTTATTCATTCTGCATACTAAACACATCAATGGGAAAAACTTGTTTCATTCATTTTTCATATTCATTTCAGTCTTCAATTCATATCAAATATCATTCTATTATACCAATCATGCCATTAATTTATAGAGATTTCATTCCATTGTTAATTAGGACAAAAACTGTTACCATTTTATATTATTTGAGTAATATCTTTTTTATTCTATCACAGTTACTAATTAACACTAACTAATTATTTTTTACGCTAAAAGTGATGCATGAAAGTTACATAAACATACAAAATTATATTTTAAAACTTTTCTTCAAGTTATTAATTTCAAAATTAATATTGTATTTTTTTATCTCATTAAACGATTGTTTTTTAAATAAATAAATCGATTTTCATGTCTTAGTAAAACCCCTTAAAATCACATAAGCAATTATTATAATAATAAATTTAATTTTTTAGCTAATTAATTAGTCATGATCCCTCAAATTTACTAAAAATTACATCATTTATTTCATTTTATGCGATCAACATAGTGATTCTTATGCAACTAAATAGTTATATAATGTTTATTTTAACCAATGATCTAATTTTTAAGCAAAATTCATTATTTCACTTATACTTTTGACATATATGTTTACATATAACTTATAACACTTTATCTGTAATATAACAGATCACTATCTAACTTATAATTTTAATATTATACTCATACAAATAATTTATAATACTTTATTTACATAAGTACAAATGAACAAGATCGAATACTACTTTTATTTTAATTGCAAATATACTAACTTTTACAGTATGTTATTTTTCTTTATATTTGGTTTATTTTATCATTAATTTGTAATTAGTGTTATCTTTTGGTTTCAACTAGTTTATTAATGGCCTGCATATGAAATGTCTATTTTTACAAAATGTTTCAAATAGTATAGGGTGCTTTGATTGAACACGATAGCGATATGAGATCCATATAGCCAATCCCACTTAGTGGGATTTTAACAGTTCATGTTGTTTCAAAAAGTATAGTAAATAGAAATTATAGAGTAAATCAATTGTAAATAGTCAATGTCATATATACTATACAGTTTTGTTATGGAACCATCGGATGACTCGGCTTATGGAGCAATCCACAGTTATTCACCAATAGTGTATTGACACGTGTCTTGCAATAAATACACTTTGGACAAGTGTTAATACATTAAGTGGTGGATGACTTCATAAGAAAACCATCAGATGGCTCCATAAAATTTTTGATATAATATATATTTAATGAATCAATATCATAAACATAAGAAATTAAATGCATGCCTTCACTTATAAAAGTCGCAAGTCTTGATTACACTATTTCCCCCGTTGCCCACACAAAAGTATGTTTTGAAATTTTGAAAAAGGAGACAAAAGAAGATCATTGTAAGGAAATACGATACAACACAGCCACCATCACACCATCTCCACCAGCAGTTGGAGGTGATTAATGAAAAAATTTGTAGATCGAAATAGTTTCCTTTTTTTTTTTTCCTTTCCAAA